AGTAATGTAAATAATGATATGTTTGACTTATTGTCACTTCCTAAGACGATAAGCTATTTCTCTATATCATTTAGAATATGCAGCTTCTGGTATTATCTGTATTAGTCACAATAAGAGATGCAACCAAACATGCAATTTCCATCTTTCTGAATTCTGATCTGGTGACAGATTTCAATTTGTGAGGGTTTTCTTTAATTTATTATATAAGAAGACTTACATGAGTAAGCATACAGTGTTGTTCTGTTTTGCATCCTCTACTATACTGTTTTTTTTTTTACCTTCAGCGTACAAAGTTACCATAAAACTAGAAACAGCTGGCCAAATGACAAAAAAGCAAGCTAGCTAGCCCTATATTGGGTGTGATGCCTGCCCGCTTGCAGCTTGGTATTGATAAATTTCTTGACACAATCCTTGTAAATAATATGTTATTCCATGAACTATCTTCATAGCATTGCCAGAGAGGTTTGCAATGCCTATCATGATTAACTTATGGTGCTAGGCATTCTGCGGTTCTAATTTGTCTATACCAAAGAAGACATTGCTACATGATTAGCATCTTATAAATGGTTCATCCAAATATCTGTTGCTTAGTTTCTAGAATGCTATTTTTCTTTGTCTGTTTTCTTTTGGCTTTGCTCTCTGGTCCACTGGAAACAACATTTCTTTTGACATTTTCGTGCTTCTTTGTACGTGTAGAATATATCTCCACCAATGCTCCTAAAGTTTCTTCGGGAGCATCGATCAGAATGGGCAGACAGAAATATTGATGCCTACTCTGCTGCAGCTGTCAAGGCCACTCCCTGGGCTTTACCTGTATCTCGCGCTGGATGCTACGGTGGCCAGGTCATACTACCTTTGGCTCACACACTTGATCATGAAGATGTATGCTACCATCATTTTTAATTTAATTTTGCTAGTTGGAGATGTTCATTTATCTCTAAACCTTGTTTACATTTTTAGCTTTACTATGATCAAATTAATCTCTAATTCCTTTCTTTTTCTTGCCAGTTCTTAGAAGTAATTAAGTTGGAAAACTTTGGCCATAATCAGGAAACACTCATGCCCCAAGATCTGTACCTGTTGCAGGTAGGTCTCCAATTCTCTTCTGAATTTGCTTGCTGCTGCAGTAAGACGCTAATCATTTAATATTGGCTTTTCCTTTTTAAAGGAAAAAATCTAGAGAGAGCAATATAATTGAAATGAACATCTGGAAGCTACAATTTCTATTGCCCACTTTTTATATAAGGTTGCAATACTTATGTGAAGACTATTGTCCATTATGACAGGTTGATCTAAGTTTAATTTAGTGAAGTGGCTTGTGCTGCTTTACAGTGGAGTCAATTTGTTACACCCTAATCTCAGGATATTTTTTATGGAAAAGATGTAAAAATTTGACAACTGTATTATGGACATATAGAAAATGTGAAATATTACCCAGAAACATATTATCCTCATCCTAACATTTTCCGATATAAGATATCATTTCTTTCTTAAAATTCATCTCTTATGGAAATGAGCAAACAGATTAGTATAGTGATACTCATGATGACAATGGACTTTGCAGCTCTGCAATGGAGTAGATGGGAATGCTTTTGGTACCTGTTCTGAGCTTATATTTGCCCCAATAGATGCATCTTTTGCTGATGAAGCTCCATTATTGCCTTCTGGTTTTCGTGTTATTCCTCTTGACTTTAAGATGGTAAGGACATTGAGACTCTACAATTAATTGTTGCATAAAAATTTCTTAATGATTTGTTTTATCTTTTGAGCTGTAGATGACACTTAAATCATACTAATGACTTTGATATGTTCAATTTTATTGGTGCTGTTTACAGGATCCTACCAGTCCCAATCGCACCTTGGACCTTGCTTCTGTTCTTGAGGTTGGACCAACAGGCAGTCGAGCATCTAATGATTATTCAGGCAATTGTGGCAGCACCAAATCTGTAATGACTATAGCATTTCAGTTTGCTTTTGAGAGTCACCTCCAAGAGAATGTGGCGTCCATGGCTCGACAATACATTCGCAACATCATAGCCTCTGTCCAGAGGCTTGCCTTAGCTCTCTCACCTTCATGCCTTGGTTCTCATGTTGACCTCCGGATACCACCAGGAAATCCCGAAGCCGTCACACTTGCTCATCGGATTTGTCACAGCTACAGGTTTCATCTTTATAAGCAATTGACTACTGCACTATATGTTACACTGTCATGATACCACATGAATGGCACAGTGTAAGAGTAGGTATAAATTGTTTGCATAAATTACAAGCTGTTTATGTAGCTGAACATATTCATAATTTTTCAATGTTTATATTCACGCATGCAGAATTGAGACAACTATGTATACACTGTAAACTCACAACATACACATACTTTCATTATAATATTTGTTACAGTAAAATGACTTATGTGTCTGTCTAATCCAAATTATATTCTAAACATAAAATTTTCTCAATCAATTATTACCAGAGATTGATTAGTGTTAGCACCAGATGTCTTTAGCTTTTCATGGTCCCATCCATGTACTGGCATTTGAAGCTTCACAGATTTTCCCAAACTGCCAAGCCAACAAAGATTTTTATGTAATTCAATTGCTACCCAAATTGCATTTCATGGACTTCCTGATTTATAAATACCATCTTAATTTAATGTCATCTAACTTTGTTGTCCCTTTGCTACAGGGCTCATTCAGGAGTAGAACTTGTAAAACCATCTACTGATGGTAATGACTCTCTTTTGAAGATGCTATGGCATCATTCAGATGCAATCGTTTGCTATTCTATGAAGGTCTGCCTTCCTTCTAAGTTCTTTTATAGCCGTAACCAAAATTTGTTCATGATATCTACGTCAAACTTCCCTATTAATTTTCTGACTGCTATGTTTTACAAGAATTACCTCACGTAATTATCATTGTGCACTCTAGCTGTACAAAAAAATATATATTATGGATTGTTGTTATTTTTTAACCATGTTAGTGCATGAGTCTCAACTATAACATCTTCTCACCATTAAATCTGACTTGAATATGCCATCCTTATCTAGGGTGGCACCAGCCTACCAAGGTAATTAATGTGTGGATCTCTAAACCTATTTGTCAGAAGTTACACAGAGTAACATGATTCTCCAAAAAAGTAAGTAACACGAATAGGAACTAATAGAGAAAAAGAGTAAAATTGAGTCATTGTTTTGTTTCTTTAACAATAATTCAATGTCCAGTGTAATCATCACCACATTGTAGTCTGCTAAAGTGAGTGAATGGCCATCCGGTAAAATGCCCAGGAGCAAAAAAGTGTGTTGTGACTTCTAGACTGAACATCCAACATAGACATATGCCTGTCATTTTCGTTTTAATGGTTTATCTTATTTATTTAGTAATTGACCTTTATACCATTAAAATGCTTATAATTCTTGGTTGATTTCTTGCAGACTATTCCAGTTTTCACCTTTGCCAACCAGGCTGGTCTTGACATGCTAGAGACTACACTGGTTGCTTTGCAGGATATCACCTTGGAGAAGATTTTTGTTGACGAAGGAAGGAAGACCCTTTGCACAGAATTCCCTCATATAATTCAACAGGTTCATGTCCTCCCAGTAATCTTTTTTATACCGAATCATGTTTTAGAAATATAAAACATATATTCACATTGCATGTGTATACTATTTTCAATACCAGTGATTCAAAGAAAGCTCCTTTTCTTTGGAAAGCTGAATTGGCTCAGAATCCTAGTTTTTGTTTGATTTTAGAGGATACACCATTGCTACAAGTTGAGTGGTGGGTTTATTTTCCACCTGATTGGTTTTAAATGTCAAATTCTGTTTTTGTGTGGGTGGATTTCTGATGTCTTTGCAATCCTATTAAGCATGTCGAGTGACTTGTCTTTCATATAGAAAGAATTATAATTAATCTTTATTTTAAATTTGTGTTGTACTGTTACACATGAAACTCTATGCAATTTACCGAGTTAGTTTTGGACTTCCACGTGCAGACAGATTAATATTTGATTTTAGTGCTGCTCGTATGTTCGGATTTCTCATTTTAAGTTTCATTTGCAGGGTTTTGTTTGCTTCCAAGCTGGCCTGTGCATATCTAGCATGGGTAGGCCTGTTTCCTATGACAGAGCAGTCGCATGGAAAGTGCTCGATGACGAAGACAATGTCCACTGCATATGCTCCATGTTTGTAAACTGGTCCTTTGTTTGAACATATTATTTCCGATGAGAAAAAAAGATGCCCTGCATAGTTTCTTTCTTTTGTTTTTTGTTTTTCTTTTGTTTTTGTTAATATTGCTGTTTACATTAAGCAAACTTAAAAATGTTCAATTTTCTGGAGTTCTATTCATCTCTAGTTTTTTAGCTTATCAATCTCGCCCCCAAACGGTTGATCGGGAGGAGAGGTGTAGGCTAAGACCATCTTTTTATCATTCGACATTCATCATCTTAAATTACAGTTTGAGTCCTGATGCTCTTAGTGTTCCATATTTTGTCTTCTTTAGCTTCAAACTTGCCTGGAGAAAACTGAGATCTTGAAACTTGGCTGTATTTTTATTTATATGCTAAGATACGATTGTCTGATTGGTAGATCTTTGCATGTTCCGAACGACAAGGGTTAGAACTTAGATATGTGCATAAATGATGTTCATCACATGTATCTATGTGCTCCTCTCTTGAGAAAGTTCACATGTGAGTGAAAAATGAAACAGATTGCTTACTTCCAAAGGTGAGATGCCCATCATCTGTAATAATCGTAAACATGTGTGTGTTAGCTTTTGAGGTTTATGAATGGTGTAATAATCGTAAACTACATTTAGAATTCCTAATAAAGTTGAACCCACCACCATTGCCACCAAAGGTGGCTGGGTGTGTCTTCTCGACCAATCTCTCACCATGATCAAGACACAAGCAATCTGCTTCTGCATGGTGGAATGAAGAATCTGGGCTTATGAGGAAATGAAAAATGAAGCACTCAGCACTCTGAGCTCATACCATGGCTCATAAAAGCCTGAAACAAGTTGAAATGGATAGTATAATATTGTCTGACAAAATAACAAATCATTGCCAGGTTTGCTGAACACAATGATATTTACAGTGTAAGTTGAAGTTGCTTGTAGATTTGCAGATGTACATGATGTTCTTTCTTAATTATAAGCTGCTACAGTCTTAATTCTCCAACACAAACAGAAATCTTGGTATCACAAGTTCCTTGTCTTTTCCCATCAAAAGAGATTGTAAAATGTACAGATCAGTGAAGAAAAGTCAACACAGGATTCCAGAGGGGGACCATCTAGGGATCTTCATTCTGACCATGTATCAAGAAACATATGTATTGGATCGCCTTCTCATTCTTTTCAAGTGGAAACATTTTCTCTATATCTGGACAACATGGAAAGCTTGCCAAATTGCTTCTCTTCAAGTTATTTTGCGAGGGAGGAACTCCCAGCATCACAGAGAATACAGGTTGAAGATCAACAACTACTTCAAGATAAGAAGCAGTTGATCTTGGCCTGAAAATAAGACACTTTCAATCCCCTGATCAGATGCATATGAGAAAAATACCAAGACAACCAATCAACAACGGAAGCTCATGTCATTAAGCCTAAAATCTGGGATTGGCTAAGTAACTAATAAGGAAAAATTAGGTAAGGTAAACACACCCAAGAGAGGCTCATATACCAGAATGAGCACCTGGAGGAGTGTTATGGATTTAGATATCTCTCCTAGCCTTCTGCTTCAAGCTTTGTTGCTTCTGCCAAAACAGTATCCTTCAGCTCATTTTGGTATTTGATCACTCTACAGAAATTGTGGAATGAAAAACGCAAAGCAATGAGCCTAAATATAAAAATCAGAAAAAATTCAGATCACGTGTCCACTACACGGAAACAGACCTGTTCCACAAATCAGCATCGCTAGTGGCAAGGATCCTGACTGCTAATAAAGCTGCATTTGCGGCATTCCCAATTGCGACTGTTGCAACTGGAATACCTTTTGGCATCTTTATGGAGCAACATAAAAAGTAAACTCCAAGCCCAGGATATTAAACCAACCACCACAACTAAAGTACTTTGGTGAAACAAAAAATCCAACATCCACAAACCACATGATTTACCTGCACGATGGATAACAGGGAATCAATTCCATCCAGTGATGAGGCTCTTATCGGGACTCCAATGACAGGTAGTGGACTCAGTGAAGCCACCATCCCTGCAGTAGAATGCTGTGTTTAATTTCTCCATTGCTTTAAACCAAAATGGAGTATTTCTTCTCAGAAATGTGCAATGAACCTGGTAGATGTGCCGCACCACCAGCACCAGCTATTATGATCTGAATACCTCTTTCTTTCGCAGATGATGCAAAAGAGTACATCCTCTCAGGTGTGCGGTGAGCTGAAACAATTGTTACCTGAAATGAATTTTTACAGTAACAAAATCATTTTATTGCATAGTACAAGAAATACACCTTCTAAGAAGTGCCTAGAAATCAAAGGCAGCTTTATCATGGTGATACAACTTACCTCATATGGCACACCAAAATTTTTTAAGATCTCTGCAGCATCTTTCATTGTAGGAAGATCTGAATCAGAACCCATGATTATAGCAACACATGGAGTAACTGCACCCATTAAGCATACATTTAAATCAAATATCAGAACTTCCAAACAACGATGACCATATACTGAAACTTTCGTCATGTACTTATTTTTCACCAATGCTACCTGAAATATATGAAGCACTACACCAACTACTAAATTATTCTTGTGAAAGAAATAAAATGATTGAACACATCAGAAATAGAGAGGTAATCAGATTGTGGGAATGCACAATGATCCATAAGTTATGGGCCTCAAAATTTGAAATCCAGAAAATGCATATAGAACAACCTTATGTATTTAACGCCTTTAAGCGCCTTTCCAATCAGTTGATGAGCTAAATAGAACCCTGGCTCTCCCTAGCAGTAGACAATTTCCAACAAAATTAAAGAATAGCTAAAGGACGTGAAACAAGAATGCAAAAGAATTATTTGGCATCAATTCTATGTAGGTCAAAGGAATGAAAGCTTATGAACTAGTCTCTTTTGCACTGAGAAACTCAACTTCTTGAGAATTTAAATAATATTTTATAAAAATATTTTCAAGATAATTACCTCATCTTCACCTAGTATGTTGTACATGATTGCAGCTGGGGAATTCATTGATGGATCACCAAGAGGAAGACCAAGAATAGCTCGTAGATGCTGTTCGTATTGTGAAGTATAGCATGACTCAATCGTATGATGTCCACTATTATGCGGTCTAGGAGCTACTTCATTAAGCAAAACCTATTGAGAAAAAAACTAAAGGTTTGGGTCAACAATTGCAATGTTATCTAGAACCAACATCAAATGTGCGGACAGAAGATATTTAATTTAACATGAGATCAAAAGGTAAAATAGATAGACTAATATATTAGAGTTCAAACAAGTTATGAAAGAGGATAACCTGTCCATCTTTTGTTAAAAATAATTCCACTGCAAATACACCTGCTCCCTCCAATGATATGACAGCTTTTTAAGCAATGTCAACACAAAGTCTTTTTATTTTGTCTGGTACACCGGCGGGAGCTTCAACTATGTGACAGATGTTATCCCTAGAAAAAGTGGTGTCCATAAAGATTAGAAAATTTTGCAGCAGATAGAGAAAGCTTAGAAAATAAGGACTGAGGCCTCCTATTCAGCTCAAGTGAACTAGCAACAGAACTCATTCTTCTTACTTATGAATGGTCTCAACCAAGGTTTGCAATACCGTACCGTACCGGTATTTCGACCTAGGCTCGGTATCGATACGGTACGGTATACCGAGTGGTACACCCAGGTGTGTCGAGTATTGTAGCACTGCTACAGTGCTACAGTGCACTCGGACCGGTAACAGGCGGTCCGCGTATCGACAACC